TCAGCCGAGAAGGCTGCTGTTTATATTAATATATTGCGTCTACTGTTCCCCTTCCCTATGTAATCATGGTATTTGAACACAACGGCAAAGATTGAGATTAGAACACACAGCTTGCCCATCAGTTTGTGGTTAATCAGGTGTCATGATAGACACTAATAATGGTTATATTGTACATGACTATTATTATTATAATCTTGCAGGCTGGTGCAGTAGAGGGTGATGGTTATAGTGGTAAAGCTAAACCCCATACAACATTTGAAACATTTTCTGGCTTAACGGTATTGAATGCAGCAGAGGTAAGATTATCATAAAAATAGCTTTATTTGTGTGTTTTAATTCTTGTTAGTCCCCTTTCAGACGCAGTCTGGAAATAAGGACTTATGGATTGCATCCATGCGTGCGTGGTGTGTGTGTTCGAACCTGTATCTTAGACATGCCTGGACCAATTACATTGAAACTTCACACATACATCATACATAATATATATATATTGTACATATGCACATCAATTTGTTTCACGATCCGTTTCAAGATGGCCGAATAGCAGCCATTTTTGTACAGAAAAATCATCCAAATCAAGCATTTCTCGGCTGTTTACAGATGGATTTTGTTCAAACTTGGTATATACATTAGGCATTATGGGACTGTTTATACTTGACTGATCACTGGTGATACACATCAAAGGTCACTGATCTCAGTGGAAATATGCATTGTTGTCTGTGTTCAATGAAGCAAATCATTTATCTTGTAATAATATGTTGGTAATGTATCTCCCAAATCCCATTGGAATACTAGAATGGGTTTTCAAAAGCAACTGGTGGAGAGAGTTTTTGAACAGTCTGATACACATTTGCAAACCTACCAATAAATTTTTACCAAAAAAAAGCACTCCTATGAATTGGAAGCCAAACTTTGATCAAGATCTGAAGCTAATAGAAAATCTGTTTCGACCAGAGTTATCAAATTAAAAACATTACATAAAAAATACATAAAAAGCAAAACGTTGCATCCACATTTTGAAAAGAAAATTGTACTCAAAAATGTGTATTCTGTATTTGGCAAACAGTTCATTCGACAAATGAAAATTCACAGGAATTAGAACAGCTATTAGAACAGAATGATAGAGCTTTTATAATACTTATTTAAAAACGCACTTCAAAAACAAAGATAGCAGTGTTTGAAGATGAGGATTCTCAGGAGGCAACAGTACTGTTGACTTCTCTCTCCAATGGACACCAACTATTTAAGTTGATTTGTATACAAAGCAGAGCTGCAACATGATAGATATTCATTGAGGGCGTTTTTTTTACTTTTCAAATAATACAGAAGTCACACAATGAATATAATAAGCAGTGTTCTCCACGAGGGGTTTAAGATGGGCGCAGCACCCCTCTTTAATTTATTAGCTCCGCTGTCGACTTTGTCAAGCGAAGCTTATCATATTGCTTAATCACGCAATGGGAGAGTCAAAACAAGTTCCCTCATCATTCCTGAATTGGCTTAGATACTTGAGAACAGAAGAACCAGCAACAATTCATTGGTCCAATTGCTTGTTACTTGCCTTTTATTGGCGAAAAGTAAAAAGAATCATCAAATAAATCACCAAAACAAAACGTACGGTAAACTCTGAAACAACATGGATGACACGGTATCTGATTTGACCTTTGTCTTCAGTACCCATGATGCAATCAACATAATAATTAATTTATTTACAGTCATTGGATTCGATTTTTTCTTTTTCTTTTAAATGGTAATTTTGTTATGTAAAAATATTTTTATTACTTGGGTTTTTCAACTATTACAATATGTCAGAGCATTTATAAAACTTTTAAAAATGAAAATACTTGAAAGAAATTTAAAAGAAATGAATGAAAGGCTGGAATTTCACAACTTGTTCCATTACAGAGAATAAAATTTTTCATTTGTCAAAGTTGATATTTTTTTACATCAAGCGGTTTAATTTATTCATCAAAATAATTCAAGAACATTAATATAGTACTTGTACACAGTATTTAAGGTTGATGTAAATATAAAAGTGCTAAGAATTTTCTTTGAAATGTTTGATTGGTATGCTAATTATATGCAAATTAGATATGCTAATTATATGCAAATTAACCTCCCTCTTTAAATTTTATTTTGGAGAACACTGAATAAGGCAGTTCATATTTGTCTCAGTGAATCATTAATTTTTGACAGACACCTGTACAAAATACTTGGACAAAAGCCAGCTAAGATTTTCTGTTATCTTGCATGTTTTATGAAATTATTCACATCTAAATGCAGCTCTTTTTTCTGGGATGAGGCATTTGTTTTTATACTAAAATATTCAAATTACTTTGAATAAAGCTGAAAATTATGTCCCTTAAAATAATTAAACAAATTAGACACCAATGTTTTTGTAAGATATATTTACATCTATCAAGGACATTCGATAGACTGCTTTCCCACTGTTTCAACCCCAAAACTTGTTTGTATTCGAAATTGATTATGACAATGCATATTCACATTGAAACAAACTATGATAAAGGGAATAATATTATATAACAAAGGGCAAGGTCACAAGAGTTCAACTATGTTGTTTTAATGAATGTGGTTCTAGTGCCATATCTCTGACTTGCTTTGACTGATTATGTTCAAGTTTTAAATATTCATTATACATCATGTCATAGATATACAGATATATTGGTTTGACGATCCTATTCAAATGGCCGAATGGTGGCCATTTTGTGCTAAAAGGGAAGGGATTTCGTTCAAACTTATAACACATTAGACATACATGTCAAAGCCTGAAAGGGGAGTACTAGATTTACTTTCTGTCTCATTTTGAAGTAGCTGCAAGTTATCTCTCACATTTTCTCAGGGACTCTGCAGCAAATGCCAATGAAACTTGGCAGGTTGATGAACAAGTATGTGTTACATAGGAAAGTAATTTTTTTTTCCAAATCCGAATATCCTAAGTGGGTCTTTTTCAAGATTTTCATCCAAAATTACCTCTCTCTACTACACTGACAGAGCAACTGAGCATGCTCAGAATAATTGATGAATTCCTGATTTCAGATTCACAAGTTATACCAAATGTATTCGATCGGTAGTGTATACTTTTCAGAACTCAGAACCAATTTCTCAGAATCTAATTTTAAAATAGGTTCCTTATCATTGGAAGTCATCTTTTAGGTTATTATTACCCTACCCAAAAATATGCAAATTAGCTAAATCCAGTTATTTCCTTTGATCTCAGCAACCATTGAGCTGATTTCGTTCATATTTGGTAGGATTACACCTTGACACGAGTAGATGTGCTTCTGACAGTAATGACCACGCTCTCCCAAAATATGCAAATTAGATCAATACAGTTATTTGCTCTTATCAGAGCAACCATTCGGCGAATTTAGTTCATATTTGGCATGATAACACCTTGGCACGAGTAGATGTGCTTTTGGCAATAATGACCACACCCTCCCAAAAATATGATCAATGCAGTTATTTGCTGCTATTTCTACCACCACCGTGTCGATTTTATTCATATTTGGTAGGATTACCCCTTGACACGAGTAGATGTGCTTCTGACAGTAATGACCACGCCCTCCCAAAAAATTGCAAATTAGATCAATTCAGTTATTTGCTCTTATCTCTACCACCACCACCACCGTGTCGATTTTATTCATATTTGGTATGATAACATCTTGGCATAAGTAGATATGCTTTTGGCAATAATGACCACACCCTCCTAAAAATATGCAAATTAGATCAATGCAGTTATTTGCTCTTATCCCAGGGAGCCCAGGAACTATAATCAACTGTACAAAGTCCATATAAGCGTTGGGGGGGGGGGTTATTGGCTGGTACGTAGCGTAAGAAATAGACATAGAACAAAAATATGCAAATTAGATCAATGCAGTTGTTTGCTCTTATCCCAGCAACCA